CTCGGGCTCGGGGCCAGGTCCTTAAGGCTTGTGCCCGGAACCACTAAAGTCAAGCTTGGGATCGTAGTACCCATGCCCGTACTAGTTGCCAAGGACCCAACCTCAATGGACCTGGGCGGAGGCGTTGGATTCCTGGGCAAAACCTCGATGGACCCAGGAGCGAGCACTGGGGCCGTAAAAACTATATATCTTTGTGTTTGGAGAGGTTCAGGTATCAGTAGAAACCGCAACCAAACTGACCTATTGACACATCTACATAAAATACCAAGTTTATGAGAGGCTTACTAACATCCTAATAAAATTGGTAAGTTGCCAATTTCTGTCAAAGAGCCATTTTCATTGAACTATGCCATCTGTTAAAACGAGGTATGCTTGTAACCATAATGAATTTACCAATACCCAATATATATGTGTAAATATTCAAACCTTTCTCAAAATTTACAAGGGTAGTTAGTAAGTTACCAGATTCTTTCAAATTTTATCAGTGAGCTTAAGAATTTACTAGCATTTGGATGAATATACCAACCTCCATAAGAAATAGTATGATACAAACCTTTTACAAACTCTACTAAGTTATAGTTTGTCTTGAAACATAAGTTGGAGGTTTTAAGGTTCGAATTTTAGAGTGGCATTGTTGCAAAAGATGAGAAGGATCTTCTTATAATTCCACAAATACAAATGAAATACGTCCTTCCTCCATTACATTTGATGAACACAATGAAGCCCCTCTTGCCCCTAGATATGAAATATCTTGCGGATACAGTCATAAAAAATAAAATTCTCTAAATTTACGAGGTAAAGTGACGCCATTTATAAGTGGAGGATTTATTCTACATACTCACAACATGATTATGACATCATTTTGACGCTCAGCTCGCGTGGCCCCAGTTCGATGAGTCTTATGCCTTTTCTTTGGCCTTTTGGCAAAAATTCTCGAGTCTCTGAATCGAAAAAAACCGCTTTGAAACGACAGTGAAGCTGTCAACATCACTGCCTGGCATGTGTCGCGACCGACCTTCGGTTTTTTTAAACATCAAAAAGGGGTCTCACCTGGTACGTGTTAAGTTTAGGTTCGGGACTTAAGTTGGGCTCTCCCAAGCCCATACCATATCACGACTCAAGGTTTAGATTTTTAACCTGCAAGTGGTTTTTATCTAGGATTCATCACTAATCAGTTTGGGGTGGGTCGATTAGAAACCCAAATAAGGTGATGGGAGAATCATCCTACTTCTACGAACCAGTGATTAAATGAGTTCGGGGACTTTGTTATACTAGTTGAGTAACTAATGCCCTTTCGGTACCTTTTATCCTGTTCACTTTAGAAAAAAATTTTTAGGCAGTTTGGATTGATTTTAGGACCTATCTCCTAACATGTGAGGTGATCAAACGAGTGCATAATTATTAATGATTAGCAGTCAAGGTAGATATCCAGCTTAGGGTTCTAATCCTAACTAAGGCGACAACATTCAAAACATAACAATTCATGCAATTATATTCTAATTAAAAACAAGCATAATAATACAACAGTATGTAAAAAAAACGCACACAAAATCCTACCGTATAACTGTGTAGGCTTATTCGATTTAAACCTAATTATTGATCAAATAATTCACATAATTTGAAAAAATATTCAAACATACTAATTTCTAAACTATTTTCTAATTTTAAGAGAAAATAAAAAAAATCGAAGTTTTTTATATATTTTTTTAATTTTTTTAATAAAATAATAATATAATATTTAAACCGGGTCAGGTCGGTGGATCCGGGTCGGTCAGAACTGATCCAGGTCAATGGACCCACCCCATCGCGTTGACCCGGGTCGAATTTCTGGATACGACCCGGATCAGGGGTCAACCCGGGTCATTGACCTGGGTCTGACCCGGGTCTGGACCGAATTGAGCCCGGTCGGGGCTTGGTCCAGTGGATAAAGACGAAATAGGGCCGGTTCGACCGGGTCGAATTGGCCCTATTTGGCCTGCAGACTGGTCCGGTCCAGGGACGGCTCCTGCGTGTTTGGACACGCGTGAGCCTCGGTCGGCGAGATCCGGTGTCTTGCCAGCCGACCCAGGCCACCTATGGCCTGGGTCTCCATCAAATGAACCCCAACTTACCTTCTCCGATCTCAAGGCCCGATGGTCGACTGCCCGTTCGCCAGTCGATGACCAAAAATAAACCCAGCCTCTTTGAGGCATTTCATCAAATAGATGGTGGGCATAACAAAAATCGAGGGATTTCAACCTTCTCCGGCGACCTGGTCGGCTCCGGTGGCCACGGTTCGCCTCCGACGGCGAGTGGGGGCTGGGACCAAAGACCGTATGGACCGGGATTTGCGCGAAACGGCCAGCGCAAGTCCCGGCCAAACTGTGCTAAAAAACAGGGGGTGTCGAGGCCAGGAAGACTCATTGGCCGGTGCTGACTTATGGAGGGTCTCCGGTCATCCTGATGGCCACGGCGGGGCTATTGCTGCTCCTCGACGATCTGGAGCTCTCAAGTTGCACTCAAATTCTCTCTTCTCCCTTCTTTTCTCTCTCTGTGTTTTGCTCTGTTTTGATGCCTGAGCAAAGACTGCACCTTCTCTCCACTCTCTCTGCCTTTTATAGGCGACGGAAGCCACCTGCTCCGCCCCGAAATTCCTGGCCCTAATGGCCCTTGCGCTGGCCTACTCTGCGCCACGACTTCGATGACCATTCTAGGCCGGTGCAGGGGAGGAAAACGCTCATCTGCTCTTGACTTCCATGGCCGCAAAGGGGAAGAGGAGAGAGAGAGAGAGACCGGGAAAGGGGGAGGGATGGGACTGGCCATCAATGCCCTCCCCTTGCTTCTCTCTTACCTGCTCGGATGGAGACGGGAGGTTGCTCGGCCGTCCGTCGGTCCAACGGCCAGATGCAGGGGAGAGTAGACGAAGAAGATTGGTGTCGGGGGGAGAAAGAAAAGGAAGAGTCGGGCCGGGCCGAGCCGGGCCCAGCTCGCGTGGAGGGTAGAAGAAAAAAAATAAAAGCTGACTGGGCCCGCACGGGGGAAAAAGAAAGGGCCGGGTCGATCCGACCCAGACCCGAATTTTTTAATTAATTTTTTTATAAAATTTTTTAAAGTTAATTAAGAAAATATGCTCTAATAGGCCCTATTAATGCAAATGTGCCTAATATTTATATGCAATGCAATTAGATAAAAATAATATTTTTTTTTGTTTTAAGAATTGATTAAGAAATTAATTCCTAAATTTTACATAATTAATTTTGGGTAAAAAATTAGAAAATAGGTGTCAACAGCATGTCTTCCCATCAAGACATGGAAGCTTTCGGAAGGAAGTCTTCGTTCAGTTGGCATTTTCAGGGCAAGCCGTGATGATCATGAAAACCGTGTTTGCGCCTTTCGAAGTCAATAAACGACCCAGACATCATCTGTCCACATATTCATCTGTTTCTGCGAAGATTCGAGTTGCATCATCATCAGTTTCTAGATTCACCGATGGTAAATCATTGCGATTCGTGTTACTTCACTTGGTGAGAAATTTTTTTTTTGCCTGTACGAGTACATAATATAAATTATGGTTGCCCTCGTTTCTGGGAAAACTTTAGTATAAGAAAAAATGCTTTTCAAAAAATCATTTTTCATGAAATCTTTAATATGCAGATAAAATCCGATTTGTGACCGGATTCACTAATAAATCTTGAATTGCCTAGTAATAACCATGCTGACAATTTGTTATCGACTTTTCTTGAAAAGTATGATGAATTATTTTAGGCAAGATGATGAATATTGTGGGTTTAGTGATTAGAGTGAAATTACAAATCAGATTGAGCAATGAGGGAAGCAAATTTACCTGAAGCCAAATTTCAAGCTCAGCAAAAGGGTGAGTCAATTACTTGCTCAACTTCCCAATGTGAATTGGTAGAAGACGAGATAAACATGGAATTGCGTAACAAAGAATATAAACATATGTCACTCCACATTTTGGAAAAGCCCTCAAGTTGCTGATGGTCTTGTAAGGAAATATCTAGGTTTATACATTTCACACTTTGAGAAATTAGATCAACAATGACCATGGTAGGCCCAAACAAGCCCTCCTGTTCAAACGGACTGGAAAAGACCTGATAATGTCGCTTCTCATCTTTTTATTGGAAAAATTACTCAATCAGTCATAAACATATAATACGGATGCCAATTTAGTCCTAATCTTTTCAATTTTATCAGTTTAGTGCTAAACTTTTGCGCAAAATTCCAATGGAGTCCATCTTGCCAATATTCGTTGGAAATCGCTAAAGTGGCGATCAAGTTATCTCCAGCTGTTCTATATGGCACACCAATGCACTAGCAATTTTTTGCGATAATTAGCCGAAATGACCACATTGGAATTTCGCACAAAGATTTAACACTAAATTAATAAAATTAAAAAAATTATGACTGAATTAACATACGTACAATATGTTTAGGACTGACTAGACAATTTTCCCTATTTTTATTATAAAAAGAAAGAACTGATAAATGAACTGAAGATCATCGCACAATCACCATATTCTAGAATCGGACGAAAATTCTCAGTGCGAAACCTCTCGGCTTCTTACGCGTGTGATTGGGTTACAGCCTTACCCTTAGGGAAAATCCAAGATAGATTGAACATATTATTCGCTTAGTCAAGTGGTCACATATTGCCTAAATTCATTTGAAAAGTATGTACAAATTATTGCTCAAAGTTAACCAAAACCATTGAAAGTCAAGTGAATAAACAATACCAGACCTGAGCAATAATTTGTACTCTTCTCTTAGTTTTCTTCTTCCTCATTATTATTTTTTGGTTTCCTTGAGGTCGACGATTACCAACATAAAATGTGCCGTTCAAGAATACTATAATAAACGATACTTCGCGGCAATTCTCTTAACGTGTACACTTTTCTCTTTTTATTTTTATTTTGCTTTTATTTTCTGTCTTCTTCACTCAACCAATAAGTTCCCTATAAATTGCAACACCATTCTTGTGTCCGTCCCTTCATCTACTGTTTTGGAAGATTTCTGAGTTAAACTTCATCACTTCAGGTTTTCTTTTTTCTGGTTCTTGATGGCGTCGAGCGCAAGTCCGATGGAATCGAATTGGATAGTGGACACTTCCCTAGAGCTTAACACATCCTATACGGTGAGTTGGACCTATGTTTGCAAAGATACGCAGTGATTAATATTATGTTTCTGTTTTTGTATCTGTGTTTGGTGGAAAGAAAAGAAAGATCTTTAGATGTTTAACGTACTGTCTCTCTTCTTCTTCTTCTTCTTCTTCTTCTTCTTCTTCTTCTTCATGGTTCTTCTTGAAACAGAAGAAGGAAATTGTTCCAAGAAATGATAACTCTCAAGGAGGACGACCAGAAGAGCCCGTTGTGAAGCATGAGGTGAGTCCATATATAACAGAAGTTGCGTCAAGAAATAGGAATAATGCTAGAGACATAAAAGGTCAGTTCACGAAATTACGAGACGAAGGTCTTATGGCTAGTAATTGCACGCAGTTATCATCCAGAATGAGAGCTAAGAGTAACAGCAAATTCCACTCCAAATCTCAGGTCAGTCCGCACGACTCGATTGCATTTGTTAGTTAGAATGCCACTGAAATTGGTATCCAGGGCAGCAATTAGAGCAGCCGAGAATGTGTCTGCGAACTGACTTATTCGCCCTCTAAAATGAACACGAGTGTTTCACGCAATGTGCGTGAGCGAAATTTCCAGCTATGTATCCTAAATTTTCAAGTACTTCTAGACAACTCCGATTGAAGTCAAGAGTGCACAATAGGGAAAATGAAATGGTAAAAGGCAAAGTCATATTAAACCTACGCTCCAAGAAAAGGGTAGCTGACCGACCTCATTTAAAATAGAGAAGAATCGATTTCTAAAACAAAGAATCTGAAGAAGCCCTGTGACCGATTCCGAAAACTGGAGTATTTGAATACGAAGATCAAAACCGAAAGATGATCTGCTTTGTTGTGTATAGGCCGGTGCACTGGTCGAGGAGTATCACCGAATTAGCCACGAGAACAGGAAGTTGACCGAAACGCTGACCCTTATGCACGAGAGCTACAATGCGCTGCGTAACCAGTTGATTATCTTGGAGAATAAAACCTCCGAAAGTGAACTCGGTGCGTCAAGAAAGAGGAAGCACGAAGCTAATGTTGCTGCAGACAGTTGCCATTACGACGAAGATCAGATGTTCAAGAAGCCAAAGGACAGCTTCAAACACAAGATCTATAGAATCCATTTCCGAACTGATGCGTGCAACATGAACCTTGTAAGATCTTAGTTTCAACACAGAACATTTTTTTTCGTGTTTCTCTAGCATATAGTTGGCATAAAGAAATTTGTCTTCTCTAAGTACCAAGTGAATTCCACTGTATTGATTCTTTTTTCCATTTATTTTGCTATATGAATTTGCACTTGCTATAGGTAGTGAAGGATGGTTACCAATGGAGGAAATATGGTCAAAAGGTCACAAGAGACAACCCATATCCAAGAGCTTACTACAAATGTTCCTTTGCCCCAACTTGTTCTGTTAAAAAGAAGGTAACTCAGCTTAATTAGACTTCTTATAAATTATTTTATGGAGACCACACTCAATCACAGTCCAACAATAAATCAAGAAATCGCATGTTCGATGAAAAGTAGCAGAACAAATTCAATCTCACTCTCATGCTTTATTTGTATCTTCAGGTACAAAGATGTGTTGATGACCCCTCTGTCCTAGTGGCCACGTATGAAGGAGAACACAACCACCCGAGCCTGTCTGAGCCCGCGATTCCACTAGGTTCTGAAAAACAGGGACTGAATCTGGGCGCCCTTCCAATTCCATCGCCTTGGAAGTCGAGATCTTCTAGTCCTAGGAGTACTCCTGATTTGATGTTCCCGGGTTTCAACACTCTATCTGCAAAAATGGGCCAAGAAACAGAAGCGGCGGCGGCGTTTCAACAGTTTCTGGTGCAGCAGATGGCCTCTTCTTTGAAAAGAGATCCCAATTTCACGGAAGCACTCGCGGCTGCAATATCGGGAAGGATATTCGACCAAGCCCAAATTGAGAAGTGGTGAATGGACAGCGCATTGTCGGAGTTTTGTATTTAGTATGATTTACATATAATTCGAGAACTGAATTCAACGGTCAAGTCATGACGGTGGTCAGTTTTGGAATGAAGACGCGAACATCTCATCTTTTGTTTATTGGCTGAGGAAGCAAGTTGATCTGCTCACGAGCTTATTTTCAGCTCGGGCATATATAGCTATTTGTACTCAACTTGATTGTTTAGAGGTTTAGTCGAATTTGAGTAGCTTGCATACTAAACTTGTCTGGTGATTTGAGGATGGAGTGTTTACCTGCTTATACTATATCTATTTGAGGCGACGTTTACTTCTTACATTTGTCATTATTCACTACAATAATAATAGCACGCATACCAGCATACATGACCAAAACCAATTTAATGGAAACATGACCAAATCAGTAAGGATGTCTGTTGACACCTAAATTTTACCTAGTTATTTATGGTTTAATTACATAGAAAATTAGGGATTAATTTTTAACCCCTAAAAAAAAATTTCATTAAATTGCATAGCATATAGACACTAGGTGCATTTGCATTAGTAGAATTTATTAGAACATATTTTATTTATCTTTCTAAAAAAATTAATTTAAAAACCAAAAGAAAGAAAAGGAGGGTGAATCATGGCAGGGACGGCCCAAGCCCTCTTTTCTTCCTCTCTTCACGCTTGGCCTTCCCCCCAGACAGCTAATTCCTCTTTTTTTCTCTTCTCTGGGCTTGGCCCTTTCTTTCTTTCGCTTCCCTTTATGCCCGGCCCACGTCCAATCTTCAGCCTCCCTCTCTCCCTCACACATGCTCGTACGGGACAGAGACGACAGAGGAAAGGAGAGAAAAAGAAGCAGGGGGGAGACGCTCAAACAGCAGAACAGAACGCTCAGCAGCGGGGGAATGTCGCGCGGCGCCGAGGATGTCAGGCACGTACGGTGGTCCCAAGGTAAAAAAGAGAGAGCGAGGAGGATAAGAAGGAGAAGAGAGCCGGAAAAGGGGAGCGTTTTGGGGGGCTTCCAGTAAACCAACGGGGGGGGTGTGTGTGTTGGGGGTGCTGCTGTTGGGGGGGCTGAGGAAGAGAGAACTAGAGTGAGAGGAGAAACCAAGAGAGATCTTGAGGGGAATCGGAGAAGACGAAGCTTCGCTCGTTCGTCGGAGGACCGCCCCAATCGCCGTCGAGCCCCCTCCGCCGCGTACTAAGAGCCCGTGAACACCCGAGTTAGCCGTTCTCTCATTCTTGGCCGTCGGAGCTCCTCTCGACCGAGCCGAGCTTCGTTGCAAGAAGATTAGCGATCGTCGGGAGCATTTTTACGCGCCGGCGACACTAGCCCGACTGATCTGGAACTCGGCGACCGAACTAGGTACTTACTTGCCCTGTTCTTACCCCTGCATCTCGGTGGTCTCACGTACCAAGTTCACTAGGTGGTGTCGTGACCCAATCGTGTGACACCGAAGTTGGATCGTAGTGTATAATGACGACTTGGGTCTGTAAGTATCATGTTTAGGCCAAGAATCACGTCGAAATCAGATTCCGACCTCGCATCCTTAGTCGCATGCTAACTGTTCGTCGAAATGCTTGAACGAGATATTAGAAGTTTTGAGCACCGAGTTTGGGTCTGAAAGTTTCGAACGTTTTCGTGTAAACTGAGATGAATTTGTCGTCATACACGGTCGTTTAGAGTTGTATACATCGTGTTTAAAGCTAGAAATCGCATTGAATCTCACGCAAGAACGTGTATCTCAGCTTGCATACCGCATGTTCGACGAAATGTCCAAATAGAAGTCAGAATGGTTTTTTTGTGGAATCGGTGCTTGGAACCTCGGTTTTTATGCCATTTTGTTCTTATTCTTGCTGAATCAACACTGACTCTGTGATTTCTTTCGATTTCGTGGCATGAAAATTGTTTTCCCGAGCATCCATGGATGAACGCCCCTTTCATCGGAGATCCATCCCCCTCGCCGGAGTTGCCCGCGGTTAAAGGCCGCTCCAGTCCGTCGCCAGCGCTCGCGGCCCGAGCCGACGGCCGGCGGTAGCGTCCCTGCGCGGCCTCAGTTGGAAGCGTGAAGCCTCGGGCGTGAAGGAGCCTTTGGTGATGGAAGCAAGCTCTCGGTTGAAGTTGGTGTTCTGGGCTTCATGTATTAGTTTCTGGGCAACGGGAAGAGGACGTCCAGAAGAGTAAAAAGAAAAATTAAAAAAAGAAGAAAAAGAAACAAAAAAAAAAACAAAAGAGAAAAAAAGAATAAAGGGGAAAGGGAAATAGAAAAAAAAGAAAAAAAAGAAAAGAAAAGATTAAAAAAATATAGAAAAGAAATAGAAAAAAGGGAGTCCCGGGCGGGTCAGAGAACCGGGTCAGGGGAACAGGTCCGGACTTTTTATTTTATTAAAAAAATATTAAAATATTAAAAATTTCAATAAAATTCTAAAATGTTTAAAAAAACTCAAAAAATATTAAAAAAAATCTGAAAAACATTGAAAAATTAGGAAAATTCAAAAAAGTTAAAAAAAATTCAGAAAAATTCAAAAAAATTCCAGAAAATCGAAGAATGCTCAAAAATCAGTTTTTTTTTTGCTTAATTTCACTAGATTTTAGGTTAAAAACTCGCAAAAAAATGAAAATTGAGAAAACCTTTAAAAAATTCCCAAAAAATCTGGATAAGCCATTATGGCTTTACTTTAGGGCGTCTGATTGCCTTTTCTTTTTTTTTTGAGACGATGTCAGGTCTCTGGTTGTTTATTTTTTTTTAATGATTATCTGGTTACGCACTTTTAATACTTTGGTTGTTATTTTCCATTTTTAGCACGATTATGTGGAATCTTAAGCTTTTTCAATAGGCGACCCGGTACGTTAGTTCGCAAACGTTCAAGTTTAGATACCAAAATTGCACCAGATAGATTGCTAGTATAATTAAATCCCTGATCTTTAGAATCTTTGATTTTCGCGCTTATCAAGATGATACTCTCGCGTCTCAATTAAGGTTTCTAGTCAATCCTTAATCATGGCTAGTGGCAACTCCAATCGAATGCGTAAATTAGACAATTCTCATCATGCAAGGTATGAGGTTTGGGAGTGCCTCGGTCTTTAGATTAATGAACTATTTGATTTGTCTTTCAAACGAATCAATTAATATTCATATCCATCGACAAATACCTTTTGGCCTAACCTGATCTTGGCAGGGGGTAGGTCGCGACAATGTCCACTCAGTCTCAAACTGTTAGTTTCGTTAACATAATCCTAAACCATTTTCATGCGTTTTCAATGTAGTCATTTCAGTTAATTTTCGCCTCAAAATGCTGACGTGGCGATCTAATCCTCATCGATTGTCCTACATGGCATAACCGATATCTGACATGGGAGAACTTAAGCGAAAGGACACCGTTTGCTTAATTTTTTTCAAAATTTCAGATTTATTTTATTTTTTTTTCCTTTGATTTCATTGTTACTAGACATCTTCTTCCTCTCCTCCCCTATTTTTTCTCTCTCGTGATGCATTGCTTAGCCACAATGCCGATCTACGCTCTTTGTCCGTATTGCCACTAGTTTCACCAAGCCGTTGTCATTGCAAGCACCCTCACCACCACCTACCCACCCTGCATTTCCTTCGTCTCTATCAAGTGTTGTTATTGGATAGAAGGACTACATTATAATTCCCCGATAAAATTTAGAAATATATTCGCCAAATTGAAAATTTTTTAACTGACTTGATATCAATATAATATGTTTAAAACTAATTTCATAATTTCTCCTTAATTTATTACTATATGAGTAGCTCGGGTGCTTTTGAGGAGATCTATGTATGGTTGAGATACGACTATCTGCTCATTTGACACATTTTCCAATTTGTTATCTGATTTATTTTTCTTTTCCCTTCACATTTATTTATTTCCTCACATTTTCTTCTCCCTCCACTAGCTTTCTTTTTTTCTTTCATGTGTGCGCTTCTTTTCACTTCCAAATGAAAAATCTGCATTCGCAAAAGGAAAATGAAATTCTCTATTTACTAGTCGAACTAGAAATCATTCATATAGTTGGTGACCAATGATGTAGGTTGACAAAGGCCAAGAAACTTAGAAACGACAAGGTACAGAAAAAAAAAAAGGTGAAAGAGTTCATTTAAGAAACTATGTTGTCTCTTTGGCTGGACTTACATATAAAATAAATAAATTTCTACATAATTTCATACACCCATTCGAAAGACATCATTTGCACAATTATTAGGGGATATTACCTAACTTCCCCGACAAAATTTCGAATCTTCTATTATCATCTACTTAGGATAGAGAATTCTACCTTCACCTTTTTGTAGAAGTCCAAGGAAGCGTTCAAGCAACATCCCTCCCTACATTCTTTTATAGGAATTTCATTCACGTTCTGCTGACAATGGGGAAATGTTCTTTTGCTCTTGACACAAGCACCATTAATCTCACGATATGTGCTTATTATAAGATGACAATGGTGACCGAATATTCACATGTATTGTAAAATCGACAGTGCTGATACACGTGAAAAGGAAGAAGAAAAAGATTTCTCTAACATCAAATGACAGCCGTTGAATGACACCCCGAGTGACAAGAAAATCAACTAGTGTTTTTTTGCTAAAAAGAAAACCAACTAGTTAGCAAATCTCAATTGTTGAAGTGCATGTCACATCAATCAACCTTAGGAATTTCCTGGAATGTCGGGATTCTCACGTAGTTCTAGAAACACGGTGTCCGATTAGCACAACCGCAAGGGGTCGTAGTGGTTGGTGGCCATTCCTAGAGGTCGTATTCCTGTGGAAGAATAGTCACAGTGGGGTCCCTTTTTCTCTTGGAGCAAAGGGACGTTGCGCCAATTTGAACCGCACCAGATCGGTCATGCACGGCCAAGAACGACACGACACTGATCGATTCTTTCTTTCTTGATTGGTCCCGCCTGGAACCCCAAGATGTCAAAGACCAACAAAAAACGAAAAGGAATTCAAGATGTTTCTACTTTAACCATTGTATGAAAAGAAACACGCATAGCCGCATATGTTGACTCCACTAGCGCTTGGTTTGGTCATCGTCTTGTTTCTTGGCTCTTGTTCTTGTTCTAGAGAGGGGGAAAAGGAGGGGGGTGGGGGGTGGTGGGGTTTCATCCTTATGGCTAGATGCTTGAGAGACTTTTTGGCTTCTTGCACTTTTTACATGAGAGTAAGCCACGTAGGACGACTAACAATGACTAAATTGCCACTTTAGTGATTTCCAAAGAAAAATGACCAGAAAGACTACATTGAAATTTTTCGAAATGGTTGAGGATTAGATTGGTAAAATTGAAAAGTTCATAATTGAATTGATATCAAATACA